AAGAGAGAGAAAGAGACAATGAACACTGCCAGGAGCATGTCTCCGTAGGAGAGAAAAATCTTAGCTAAGCACTACCAGGGTGTCTAGAGGCCTTAGTATAAATGAGGAATACATTTCTGAGTTCAAAAACATAGAAAAAATGTCACTGCATGTACACCCACTCACCCTTCATACACACACTGAAACACACGCCCATGCACTGGCCTTCACATGTGACACTGATGCATCCTCTAACCATCCACTTGTGATATTTGAAATACATGCTTCCAAACAGCTTCATCTATTCTCTAATGATTTTCTAACACAAATGCCATTTAGATAAAGAAATTATTTTCTAGCCATGCTGCGATAAGCCTGCCTAATTTTCTCCCAGCTACTCTTGTTAAGGACAGGTAAATAAGAGTGTTTACAAATAGCTCCTGTCTGAACATCATGAGCTCCAGTTCACAATCAATAAATGTCAGAATAAGCAGCAGCAGACCAGCATTGTCTTCCCTCCCACATGGCTGTCCTTCAGCTACCTAATGCTCAATAGTTTTTGAGATCTCATTTTGGGTATGCTGACAGCTCTGGATACTGCATCAGAGTCAAAATCCAAATTGGCAGGATCCTTCACTTACTCCCAACTCAGCATATAGCTGAGTTAAAGGGCTCCTGCCTAATCAAATAAATATGTTTCTTTGCAAACTGTAAAGCTGCCTGTCAGTCAACTCTCAGCAAATCCCAAAGGGATCTTGAAATTTTGAGGAGACTTCCCTTAGTGATTTTAGCACAATAAGAAAAGGCAACCTGTTTTATTACAATGAAAATATGTTCCTGAAAGATCTGCCCAGGAGTAATTTGTAAATGAACTGGAGATGGACGTCCAGGAATTCAACTCACTTGTGAAGCTATTTCAGTAGAAGCCAGCAGTCATGATTTAATTAAAGCTATGAAATACTTCTTTTACATGGAATAAGTTCACTAAACACTGCCGGTTTGGGAGGACCCAAATGATGCTCAAATTCTACTATTTTTAGGCAAGGTACAAATGTAAGCTAGGTGCAAACAGCAAAAACATGGGAACAGTTTATTCAATATCTTCTAAAGGAAATATCTCATTCTGAAGTGATGTTTAGATATTGCTCCCTTTTAGACATTGATCTGTGTTTTTAAAAAAGGAATAAATTAAAACTGTTGAATAATCTGAAAACATTTCATTCACCCCCAAAGTGAAATAATTTCATTAATATTGACTCACTCTGATACAAATTTCAATTTTAACCTTTCCTCAAGATTCATGAAACCAAACAATCCAAATGGAAAAGAAGGCACAAATTAGCATTTACTGAAGGTGACTGATATTATTTTCCTTAGAAATGAAGAATAAGACTAATTATACATAGCCTGTTGCATTATTTGGCTTGCTAAACACTCTCAACAGCTTACATCTTATTTCATGGTTTGGACTTGTTTTTGTTTTCTAAGAAGCAAATTTCATAGTACTGAATCGGACTTTTATGGACAATCCATGTTCGGTGGTGCTTCTGTAAAAAACACTGCAGATTTTGGGCCTTTGCTAGTTAGTTTCCAAGAAATTAAAGAATTATCACACTGATGAGCATTCCCTAAAGCTGATGATCATTTTAACTCTAGCACAAGGCCCATCTGACTTGCATATGCCACTTTTTTCCTCCCCAGCTGTGCACTTGTGGCTTCTGTAAGACAACACATCTAAACCTTGCACAAGAGCCCTTCATCCTCAAGTCACTGTAGAAAATCAAAATTGGATTCACAATCACTGCTCTGTTTCAAAAAATCCACCCCTTTTGCTATGCTGCTGGGTTCACACGTACCATTGCAGGTAAGCTCTTGAATCAGATCAAGCCCAAGCACTTTTTTGAGCATTTTTAATTAAAGAAGCACCCATTGTCATTAATTCCTTTTGTTCTATCTTACCCTATCCCATCCCAAAGAAGGGGGGCAAAGTTTTCATATGCTATTCAAACTATGAGGAAAACAGAAGGATTTGAAAGGTAGTCCTATAAAGATAATTCTGATTAAATTAGTAAAAAATTATTTTATACAAATGTTATGTTGTATTCACAAACAACATATACATTTTTTCTGTCAACTAGAAAATTTCAGAAACTTGGCACAACATTAGAGATATTGAAGTCTCATCTCTGTTTTCTACTGTATGTCAGGTTACAAAGACCTCTGTAAAGCCAGAGTAATTCTTGGCTTCAACAAAATAGCACAAACATAAAAACTGTGTCATGCAGTACAGAGTCAAAACCAAAACCTTGTGGGTGATACTGCTCAAATCCCTCAGTTTCAAAGGAATAAAGAACATGTAATTGCAGTACCTCTAAATTTCCTGGTAGCCACTAATTTTAAACAGGAATAAAAATACTACATATTCTACACTGTGTAGCAGGGCGACAATGTTTGGGAATTTGTTTATACATCAATAGAAACTGAAAACTAAGCAGCTTCAAGGTCCAAAAAGTGATGATGCCAAATGTCTTTTAGAAAAAAAAAAAACCAAACCACATATTTTAAGACAAGAAAGGATTATTACAGTCATCTACTCCGACCCTTTGAGTCATATAGGCAAAACCATTGCACATTAATTCCTATCTTACACCATAATTTCTGGCTGACTTTTTCCACCTTTTTTTCCTTTTACAAGAAACTAGCTCCACTATGAGACCATTTACCATCATATTATGGAACTGTACAGTAGAAATCAGTTACAATTTTCTGTATAGTTGATGACCAGCATGCCTGAACGATGGAAGTTATCTTTTGTAACTCTGGTCCACATCAGTTCATGGAAGTCAAAATTTATTTTCAGCAGAACCAAATAACTGACTTGCAAATCTAATTCCGGCAGTACTCTCTATAAAAAAATCGGTAAGATCAGTTCTTTCATACAGTTCTGAAGGAAGTAGAAAGTTTCTAACAGTGGGCAAAAGTCAAACCTAAGCAATACCTTAAAGTGGCAATTTAAGAAGGTAAAATGGATATGAGCTATTGTGAAATTTAACTCCATGTGTATTCGTGAATACTTTTGTCAGAGCAAATATAATCTATAGGTTACTCTGCTGCTCTCCTTTCTCTTATTCTTTATAAATCAGAAAATTAATTACCTAGAAAATGGTCTCCTGTAGTAGGAAGCTGAACAGGTTTCATGTATAATTTATATATGGAAATCGAGGTGTCAACACTGTGACAAATCATCACATAAATATTTTTGCAGTTAGATTTTTCTGCATCTGTCTTCCTCAAAGAATGAGCATAATACAGATTATCTCAATGATATAATGTTGTTTTGGTATATGGAGCTGAACTGCATTTTTAATTTTTTCTCGGCTACAAATCAATCAAAATGAACAAGGGTTTTGTGTTGTATGAGAGAAGCTATTTTGATGCCATCTCTCTTAGGATAGTGCCATTCACAGTAAGTACACTAACACAAAGAAAATAGAAATTAAACAGGATGAGGCTTTCCAACATCCACCTTGCCATCTCTGAGGGGCCATTCTAAACTCCTATTATGGCTGATTAGGGTCTTCTGAATGTTCACCCTTTATTTTAAGGCTACCATTGTAACTTACTCTAGAATCATTTCATACAGGCCTTTGCTTCAAGTGAGTCTTGGAAACTAGTTTTGCTTTGAAACACGCTTCTTTAATGATAGTCTTTGAATTGTTAACTATCTAATGGGCACTTTGTAGGGTTCAGAGGCTCTAAACATTTTAAGAAGCCTGACAACTGAATCCAATAATCTATCTGTATTGAGGTGCTCCAAGCAAAGCTTTCTAGCATGGGTGTGTTAGGATGAGCAACACTTTAAACACTGACTGCAGAGTCACATAGGTATTAGAGTGCTTTCTCAAAATCAGCTACCTCAAATTATTAGAAATTTTGAATATTCAAGTTTTAATAGATTTAAAGATAGGATAAGATCTTTGGCATTTCACAGGGAAAGGAATGTTTGGCATAGCTCTGTGACATTTCCTTGTTGACTGAGGAATCACTGCAACTACATTTCCAAGATGAAAATGTTTTCTATCTTGCATCAGCCTAACAACTTCATCCTGTGAATGGGAAAAGAGCTGGAAGCCACTTGTTCAGAGAAGAGAGCAAGGAAATAAGTATTTCTGTTTATTCCAAACCACTTGGACCCAAGACCAGACACTTGGAAATCACCTTTGGAGTTCTTTTTTTTTGATGTTTTCTTCCATGATTTAGCTTATTTGCTTTTTAAGTCAACACACACATTTAGCATCCATAGCAGCCTGTAGAAGGAGCTCCACAGTTTAACTACATATTGCATGAAAACACATTTCTGTTTTATTCTTTTTTTTGGTTTTGGTTGCTGGTTGGGTTTTATTGGTTTTTTTTTGTTTGGTTGTTTTGGTTTTTTTAACATGCTTGCCCCACTATTATCCTATTCTGTAGCCATTATATTTGGAGAGTGTTTACTAGTACAGCTGGAAATTTAGTCTCATATGGTATGATGCCACATCTTATTCACAAACAGCCCTTCATAACAAGCTCAAAATCATGAATTTATCTCCTGCTCCAGCCACTTGGAAACATTTAATGTCAAGTCAAGAAACCTCAACAGCACAGGCAAGACTGCCGTTTGCCTGACTGAGGGTGAGGGGTGGGGATGGTAGGTGAAGAAAAAAGCCTTAGGAGTAGAGGGGAAACTTGGTCATGATACATCTGTTACCACTGAGAGAACAGGAGCAGTGACTCCTGACTGAAAGAGGCACTTCAAAACAATTCCCCTTACTCCCACGCTAAACTATTCCCCTGGAGAAAGAACCAGCCTTGAGAGACAAGGAGCAGGAACATGGTGCCTTGGCTGCCTCAGACTGTCTTTTTGCCTATGGGGACAGCTGGCACTCTTCCTTGTAATCTCTTCCAGATGCATGCTGCACCATAGCCAGTTGCACGCCCACCATCCCCAGCTCTTAAGTATAGAAGGAGGTCACAAATCTTACTCTGTTTGCGCCTCGCTGTCTTTCTCAGCACGGCCTCCTCCATTCGTGCTTTTTCTTCCCTCTCCTTCCAGCGCCTCAGCTGCTCTTCTCTCATTTTGTAGAACAAGATCTGCTTTTGCTCTTCATTCAGCTCTGCCAGGAGTTCAGGGTCAATATACATATCACGCAAAATTTGCTGCAGCATGGTGACTCAAAAAAAAAAAAAAAGAAAAGAAAAGAAAAGAAAAAGAAAAAACAAGAAGATAAACCTGCTTCCAATTATACTCACTACAGTGGCAAAACCCCACTGATGGCACTTCAGAAAGCAACCTGCAGCAAAGGAGCTCTCCCACACCAGCCTGCCCAGGAGAAGTTTGATTCTTGCTCTGGCCCTCTTCAGGTAGGCATATTCTGCTCCTCGTCTCTTACAGGGACAGAGTTCTCTGCTTATCTCATCTTCCAAAGGTAGGGACAGGTGTCAAGTGAAAGGAAGGGGGAGGAACAAACAAGGATAAGGAAAAAAGTCACTTCAGTGCTCCTGACTGCAAGCTGGTAAAAATAAGGGATTGAAGCCATCAGCTTTGCTCCCTTGAGCGGAAGGAATTTTAATGTAGAGAAAGTCTCAGACTTCCAGCTCAAGTGGTTTCCTTTAGCAGCAATACAGTCCCAAGGGTGTAAGTGTTGCCCAGGGGTTTAAAGTGATGTCATGGTTAAAGGTATCACCTACACCAACAATATCTATGTCACTTTGGGAACTGATCTCTTCTGATAAGAGAGAAGAAACGAGTTTGCGTATTATTTCCCAGTTTAGCCTGTTAACTAGTCTCAGCAGGGTAGGTCATATTAGAGGTCCTATTTACCTGGTGTTGACAAATATTGTTACGCAGCAAATGGATTAAAATGCCTCTAAAATTAAAAGCAGACATAACAAAAGCCACAAGACTCTTGTTATCACTTTATAAATAGTAAATTAATATTAATTAAACAAGAGTAAATTCTCAGCAGTTCATGCAGACTATGCAAGTCCTGCTGTTGATTTATTTTCCACTTTGTGAGTGGAGAAAGTTACAATGTTGCTCTTCAAGCCAGCTGTGGCTTTTCACTATGTGAGAGAGTTTCACCAAAATGAGCAAAATAATTGGATTTCAGCACCAGGGCCAACAGCCACTTAATTGTGTCCAAAAAACCCCACAACACACCAAAAAACCAAACCCCAAACCCTCTGGATTCCAGAGCCAGCTTGCACTGGGCAGGGGCGCAGCTCCCCCAGGGAGCAGTGGCACTCTGTGGGAAGGGGACGTCTTCTCAGGAGAACCACGATGTGGCCACTTGGAGTCACAACAAAACACGGATGACGTGTGCAGGCTGAGCCGAGTCCCACTGCACGGTGTTTACCTAAGAATGAAGAGCGAAAGCAGATCTGTGAGATCTCCTCATGAGAAGCCTTCTTTATAGATAGGTATCTGTCAAATGATTTCCATGATCCTCATATTCAAAACCTTACACTGTCAATGCATCTATTCACGTAACATTCTTTTCATGTATGCAAAATACTATCATTTTAATTTAGGCATAAAATACATCTGACCTAAACTGTAATTCAAGACAAGACACTGTATCACCTAGAAGCAGGAATCCAAAGACTATACTTGAATAATGCCTTCAGCTGAAACAGAATTTCAGAACCCATCATGTTTGGGCTTTATAGGGCTCAGTTCAAATGCATGCCATTCTGCAATTCAGGATCTCTTCTTATGTACATATTTTGTCTCCTAAAATAAAGTGCTTTAATTTTTTTATTTTTATTTTTTAAGAAATACAGTTTGGCAAGAAAAAAAACAGGGTAAGAAAGACTTTGATACTGCCTCTTTCTTCCATTTTACTTGGTCAGGTATAGAAAGGGGAGAGCCTGGGGGATTCGGCCTTTGTATCTCTGCTTTTATTCAATTATATTAGAGCTGTGGCTCCACATTTTGGCACTAATTGAAAAAGACTCGCCTTTGCAAAGGCTTCAGGGCAAGCAGTTTTGCTGTTCTACCCATTTGTCATCTTTCTTATTTTATTTTACTTGACTTCACAGAACAGAAATCAAATCCCGATCAGAAGCGATCACAGTACAAAGAACAAACTCTTCATCAAGGATTATGTGCATTTAAGCATGATAAGAAGAACCATTTCTGAACTGCATTTAGCTGCAGAAGTGGCTCAGGATGGAGATACAAGACGGCATACAAACAAGTTTTCAGGAAACCACTGGTAATGTTCAACGAGCGATCACACAACAAAAATAGCAAGAACAAGGAGACGAAATGAATGCTTCACGAACAAACCATTGCCTAAGATTATTCACCAAAAATATTTAAGAATGGTAACCAAATGATCAAGTGGAATTAATCTGTGGGGGAATTTTTTTTTTAAATAAAAGTCACATGTGGAAGTGTTATCATCTAATCACAGCAATGAATCTGATCAACCTCCTCTGTCATAGCTTTTCTTCTTTGGATTGTAGCAACCTGAAAACAAAAAATTGCAGAAATGCAAAGGAGAAATAAGGAAGATAAAGAAATACTCTATCTGACATAAGTCAACACGCAACAGAAGTAGAAAGATACATCATAAAGTCTTCCATTAGTTTCTTGTCCAAGATAAAAATACTCTGCCTCAGAACACTTGGTCTTTGAACTCTCACATGCATGGCAGTTTTTCATCAAATCTCTCCCTTTGCTTCCACTGGCAGCTATGTTTGTTTTAAGATTTATGTTTCTTTATGGGGTGGAAAATCCGAGAGGACCAATGGGAAGAATCAAGTGTTTTCACCAGTCCCTTCCTAATTAACATTTGATTTGATAACAATTTGGGAATGGAGTGAATGGAAGGAGAGAGATGGTTACCTACCTGCAGATCCCAAAGGTATAGAGAACCTCAGTCATGTAAGTAAATACTAGGCATGCTTGAGAAACCATCTGATGTTCCACTTATCAGAAAAGACTAATGCTGGATGGTGTTCCCAGAAATATAAGCTTTGAATATTTTGGGCCAATGAAGTATTTGGCCCAAACTAGGCGTAGCCTGTTGGCTTCATCAGGAGCTGGCAACACCCAACCTGTCTATGCTAAGCACTTTGCAGTGTATGAAAGAATTTGACGGCAGGTCCACCTTCCATATACCCTCACCAGACTAAAAGTGCTAAGGAGCAATAAATAATTCAGACAATGAAGTGTAGTCACTAACCACCATTCCAGTACGTCAAATCTCTTCTGTATCTGACACAAATCCTTTCAGAATCACATTTCTCCTCTCTGAAGAAATACTCTGGAAGAACTATTAGAAAACAATTAAATGATCTCTCTGATACAGGCAGAATGACCCCAAACATACACTACAAGGAATAAAAAAACCCTGACTACACAAAATGTAGTCATCTGCCCCCTTGTAATAACCGTCATGGGGAAGATGGAAAAAGAATATATGTGTAAAAACATTCTCTTTCCACACTGCTTGTCCTCCTGTGGGAGGCACCATTTTAGATGTTAATGCCCTCCTCACATCCGGCCTTTAGTGATCTTTAAAACAGACTGTTTTCACAGCCCACTCCCATAACACACAGAGGTGTCAGGATGACCAGATGACCAGCGAGACACAGGCATCTGTGCAGCTCTGCTTCCTGCTCACCTTATTCACTAAGAGAAAGCTAGACACTTGATTCCTCTATGAATGACGATCTCTAGAATGACCTCAGGTAAAAATTAATAGATTCTGATAAGCAAGATGTCTGACAATCAAAAATTCAAAGAAAACACTCACTCACCATAGTTAAAGTCAAAAAAATGAGAGGTCACAGATTTCCTTGCATAAATGAGAACAGAATTTCCAGTTCTAAGCCTCCTGTCAGAGGAAAAGAAAGCACCTGTCTACTAGAAAATGATTTTTCTCCTCATTGAAGACATGGTCCTGTTAAAGAGATAAAAGGGCTGATTCTCTCTTGGCTATCTCAGTGAACGGGTTTGTCTGTATATTAAATATTCCCAGCAGTATCCTATGCAAATCCAAGACTGGATTTTTAACCTAGTAGACACTGATTCTCATTATAGTTCACTTTTCCATAAATATTCCAAATGAATAGTCTGAGTTATCACAAAGAAATTATCATGAACTCTCCTGATTTCTCAGAAAATTCATAAAATCTATGAAGTCCAAAACATAAAATGGCAACCTCGATGAAACACCAAATCTACTTTAAAAACTCTTGCCACTTCTAGGATTAGCTCATATTTTGCAACGGATGAGCTTTACAGTTCCAGCCAGGAACCGGACATAACTCACACAAAACACAAATAAAACTTTCTATTGCAAAATAAAAATTCTCTCTCTTCCCTTCCTTTCCCAGACCTCATTAAAATATGGATGAATTAATGACTCAGAAGAGCAGGGAAATTTGAAGTAAGGGTGCCCCTTCCTGACCGTGGACATTCAGCATCTTCCCAGCCTTCCTAGGAAGTATTTTGAATAGTTTAGAAGGACAATGACCTCTCCGTTGCTCTTCCGTCTTGGTTACCCCTAGCTCAACAGTCCAAACTAAGCTAAAACCATTACAGAAAGACATTATGTGTCAACAGCCTATACACAAAATAAGAGATTACTATTAATGTAGCTCTTTGTTGGCAGTCAGTACCTTACGGTAACTGCCACACAACTCGATGCTCTAATTAGTAGCAGTCTCTGCAAGCAGCTCAGAGCTGTTTGAGATTTAAGTCTGGAGTTTCCTTTAATCTTTAACGGTATCTTCTGGGACTAGACACACTCTGTCCCATCGTTGGTATAGCATCTTTCTGGCTAAGCGGTCTTCAGCACTGCCACTAGAATTCATCTGCTGGGGAAGGGGGAGGAAGGGTGAGGAAAAGGCAGAGAAAAACATTTTAAATTTACTTTAAGAAAAGGGGAAGTGCTTAATTGGCCAAGGCCTGCAAATCTCCTCATCCATTTTCCTCTGAGCATGTGCACCCTCCATTCCCTGAACTGAATAGCTCACTGGCAATGCTGATGAATGCTGAGCCAGCAGAACAGCATGTTCATCTGGATTTTACAACAGAGTCATATAACCTTTAGCCATTTACATAAAAATATTCTGCCATAACCTACATATTACAAGGAAAGAGAGAGGGGTAATGAACCTCTCTCCTTAAAGGCAATCATATGTTTTCTAGA